TATTTACTTATGAGGCGTACAATAATGTCATTATATTGTCATTTATGATATAAACGATATTATAATATCTTTTATTGTCGGAAAATAACTGGATATTGCATTAAGTTCTGTATTAAACCACAATTATTAAAAATATACTAATATTTTATTGTCTAAACTAAATTTTACCAACTCTATATTTTTAAACTATGGATATATTAATAAATATTTTAAATTTATTTTTAATTGTAAAAACGAATATAAAGTTCATATTAAGATCTTTAATTATTTGGTTTAAGAAGATTATTAACTTTTTAATTACTAAATCAAAACTATTATCTATAAAAATAAAGCATATTATTGTCAACAATATTAGAGAATATTTAAAACTATTGGTGAAAGTGTTATGCCTTTCAGTGCTATTCTATGGGGCAATAGAAGTGACAAAAGAGTTCTTAAACCAAATAATTAAAGATCTTAATATGAACTTTATATTCGTTTTTACAATTAAAAATAAATTTAAAATATTTATTAATATATCCATATGTTTATCGACTGAATGTTAAACCAAATGAAAGACTATATATACCGCCGATTACTATATGTACGGAAAGGGATATGCTTTTCGATAAGACCCGGATTATTGACTATTTTAATATAAGCACGAAATATGAAGAACACAAGAAATTTTCAATATATCATTCAAAATCATTAGAAAGTTCTTGTCAAGATTATTTAAAAAATGATTACTTTTGTAAACAATTATTAATTTATAAAAATTATCTTAACAATAATTTTTTTATGCAATATAAAACACATATATTAAAAAATTTGATATTTAATGACTTGAATGAAAAATTTGCAATAAAATCCAATGAACTTATCAAATGTACAGCAAAATTGTATTCAATGGACAAAACCAATACTAATGACAATAATAGCAGTGATTCTCATGTAATGACTGATTGTTCCCAAAGTTATGCCGTTTTGAAGACTATTTATGGGAATAAAGACTTCGGAATATGTTTCACGTATTTCTATACAAATCACGACAACTATTATCTCAAAGACAAAGATTACGTTGAATTTCATATTAAATATGAAAAACAACAAAACATTTTAGTTAATGGATATTTTGAGACTAATTTAAACGTATTATCAGATATTCAAAATAAAGATTCACAATATTTTTCTAGTGTCACAAAACTTTATTTTGACGATTATTTTCCGTTGTATTTGTTCGCGAATCCAATGACCCCTTCATTGATGGCCTCAAAGGATGTGTCGATTCATACGAAGAGAATTGGATTGAATGCGAGACTCAAGATAACGACAACTCATTTCCATTTGCTGTCCAATCCTTATATGAATGAATGCATTCAAAGTGAAGGTAAATGTCATATATTTTTAATATACTTTTCATTTTTAATTGTATGTCTGATATGTTGTCTAAAATTTAGATTTACTTCAATCAACCAATATTTGTATTAATAAATGCTTTGAAGAGTTGGTTTACAAAACATACAAATGTTTACCCAATCCTTACATCACTGATGAGTTTATTCTTATGAATGCGAGTCAAACACAGTATGAGATATGCAATCATTATATCAATTATACTGATAATCATTATTATGTTAACTATTGTCGACATAAATGCGTTAAGAATTGTCACGAAATATACTATTCATTAGNTAATGACATAATTAAGTTTATACACATATAAATTAAACTAGCATGGCCAACTTTCCGTATCGAGAAATTCCTTCTTAGTAGTTCAATAAAAATATATAATTAATGCAAAAACAATATATTTTTGAATAAGATGATTTATAACAAATCTCGTATTTATTTAATAAATTTTGTCATTTAATTTATTTATGAATTTGAATAAATCCATAAAAACGTATTAAATAAATACAGGTTTTGTTATAAATCATGTTATTCAAAAATATTTTGTTTTTGCATTTATTTTACTTTTTCTATTGAAATTCTGAATATGTTTTTATAAATAATAACACAAATACATTTTTATTATTAATCTAATTTTTAAAGCTTTGACATGTACAAACTTATTGAATTATAAAGTAAACACAATTATGTTAATGTATTAAATGTTTATTGTACTACTGTTTTCCAAAACCAACTGGATACAATGCTGAAATACTAAAGTAAATGATACAACATTAAAATAATATACATAACAATCTTATAAAATATTTTTGGTTATTAAAATGTTATCTATAGCAAGGTCCAAATCAAATGTCAAATCAATAGTATATCAATTTTCATTAATATTCTGTATTTTTGGTTTCAATATTAATTACTCGTATAATAACAACTCATTTATTAAAATATGTATACAATATGTATCTAAATTACTAGTTTGTATAAGGTTGTCCGGAAATTAACGAGCGTTTTATGGCACCATTTGTTAAATTAATTTTTAAAAATTTTCTACTTAGAATTATAAATCAATTAATATACCATTTTGAAGAGTGAATATCTGGCTTTAATACAGGCACACCTAAACTAAATTAAAATATATATTCAGGGGTATATGTCAAACAGGCACACCTAAACTCAATTAAAATATTATATATTCAGGGGTATATGTATAAGGTTGTCCGGAAATTAACGAGCGTTTTATGGCCCCATTTGTTAAATTAATTTTTAAAAATGTTCTACTTGGAATTATAAATCAATTAATATACCATTCTGAAGAGTGAATATCTGGCTTTAAACCCATATTTTTATTTATACAAAATTATATTATTTAACCATTATAATTTGCCATCAAAAACATACTAGGACATGATAATTCAATGCAGATTTTGTATATTTAACACATTTTTAATTCAAATATGCATTATAAAATAACCACTAACACCATAATAGCGTGTTAGAAAGGTCTATATATCGGCTTTCAAATGAAGTATATTAAGTTGACCTCCTTTCTATATTGTGACCTTTGATCTAATTTATTGACCTTTAGTAAAAATTACAAGAAATTTTATATAAATTCCAATCACACCGAGGTAATCTACACGTTATCGTATTAGGCAATAATTGCAGACTAGAAAACAGTTTACAGATCATTGTTAACTAATGCGGTTTAGAAATGACAGTCATTTATTTTTTCCCGACATTTTCTCGTCAGTCCAAGTATGTTTTTGATGGCAAATTATCATAGTTAAATAATATAATTTTGTAAAAGTAAAAATATGGGATTAAAGCCAGATATTCAATCTTCAAAATGATATATTAATTGATTTATAATTCCAAGTAGAACATTTTTAAAAATTAATTTAACAAATGGGGCCATAAAACGCTCGTTAATTTCCGGACAACCTTATACATATACCCCTGAATATATAATATTTTAATTGAGTTTAGGTGTGCCTGTTTGACATATACCCCTGAATATATATTTTAATTTAGTTTAGGTGTGCCTGTTTAACATATGGACTACCGGCTGCATAAAAACCCTAAGTAAAAATGTAAGAAAACTATAACTCTAGCACAAACCCATATGAGGCCTGATAATACGTAAAGTACATTTTGAAATTCATACTATTTTGTGTTTCCGTAAGCTTTTCCATAGGTATTACTCAGAAGATTAAAATATTAAAGATTTTATGAGAAGTACTTTTTATTATATCAACAGAGATATAAACATATAGTATATGCAACAAACAGTACAGGGTGTACTAGTCACTTGTCCAATAAAAAATGCATAGGATTCAATGTAAATTTTATTTCTGGCAAATCGACCTCAATAATTATGAGTAATCTTAGAGTATCAATTATAATTATTTTATTAATAAGTACTACCACTTACATACTATATATTTCGACCATTAAATATTCTTATTATTAAGGATGTAAAATTTTAACTCAATAAAACATATAATGATAATTTCTTATTATACAAAGCATATGAGCATATAACAGATATTTTATAACATGGGTATAAATCGTATGATAACGGGCCACAATATGCAGTAAATAATGACCTGGCTACTAATCTTATTATATCTACATAAAATATTATTGTTAATTTTTAATTGTCAAATTTGATCAAAACGATATATTTAAATTTTCTTTGAAAAACTCATCAAGGTTTATATAATTTCTTTGGCTAAGATACTAGTTTCTAGGTATTACATGTGCTTGTTAATTTGCAATTTAGCCGGCATAATTATCTGTATTAGTATAAGAGATATAAAAGTTTGAATTGTTGTGGTCAATCATCGGACATGTTCAACAAACCTAATTTACTCTTAGACCATTGCCTATTAAGAGGTCATCTAAAATCTTAAATTATACTACATTTGATAGGCTTTCAATCCCACTACTATTTATTTTCCTACCATTATCTGAATTGATGTAAATTAAATTTAAAAAGATATAGTCAATTATTGGACAAATGACTAGTACACCCTGTATATGTTTAAATGGGTTTGTGTTAGAGTTAGTTTCCTTACATTTTTACTTAGGTTTATTTAACAAACGGCAGTCCATATACCCCTGAATATATATTTTAATTTAGTTTAGACGTAAACCATTTTTATAAGTGATTCTATAATAGATTGACCGGAAGTTGTCATTATGAATATTACAACGTTTACGTCCCGCTAAGAGACCGTAAGCGCCGACTGACGGCGTGGCGCACTTGGAAAGTTCAGGTCTCGAATGTAGGACCTTGCACAATTAAGCATTAGTGCTGCCCTCAATAGGGAAGTGAACATATTTTGACTGTTTGTGAAAGGGTTGCGACCGAAACGACAGATTTATGAACCCCTTTTGATCGAAAGGAGACTCGAGTGTAAAGGTTTTGACCGAAAATTAAAAGCACTTCACTATATTCGCTTAAAATAATAAATTTTATTGATCAAGGTGAAGTTATAACTAAAACATTTCCAAAAGTATAAATAAAAGTCGTCTCAAAAAAAGCTTTATTCAAGGCTTCAATTTATAGACACCGAAGAAAAGGGGACCCAAAAAGAACTCAAACTTCTTCAGTGGTTCTCAAAACTCTGGTCATAATCGGTCACAGCATAGGCTGTCTCGCCGATAGTCACCTCATAGGCCGGGTATGACTTGCGGACCTCAGACCTCAGCGTAACAGTTGGTGCCGACCATACGTGCCATCTGTTGCTCCTCATAACGTAAGCAAACCTTAGTCTCGAAATCTTTGGTCACATTCATGAATATCTTGATAATTTGGTCGGCGTTCTCGTTCACCGGTTATATTCATGTTGTAGTATTGAATGACACTATACTTTGATTCTCTAGCTTGGTTAATTCGTGCCAAAATATGCTTACCCTAATTAAGTAATATATAAGTGAATAATAGGTTTTAACATAGTAATGTATTAACCAATAAGTTTCAAAAGTAGGTAGCATTCACATTTAGTAATGTTATAAGTATTACTATTTGTAATAAATTGTAATACGTGAAACTGGCTGGTATTAACAATAATTTACTGTATTATCTATAGTTATAAATATAGTTATAAAATAAATAAGTTTTATATATACGGCGGCACTTATGTAGGCGTTTGTATTGGTTATGGGTGTCGACTGCACCGCCTGAATAGCAATACACACAACGATTGCCTGAAAATACATAATTTTGTTGTGAAACTGGTTTAGTAGTAGTTATTCTCAATCAACTAATTATTAAACTGATGATCTTTAATGAATTTTCACCTGGCTTTTCATACCAAATATTATCAATCAAGAATCGATTGGAAAATAATGTTGTAATGAAAGTATGAATTATGTTTCTATCAAAAATATGAAAACATTAATATTTCAAGAGATCTAGCACATTAGTGATTAGTTATGTTATATAATTATAGACTTTTTATTTAACTTACGAATGGGAATACATTGTATTAATTTCGATGTACAAAATGATATTAAATTAAACGTTTCCAAAATTAAAAAATTTCCCTAAAATTAAAATTAAAATTAATATTGCACATATTTACAACATTTAAGGGTCATTCAATAATAAGTAAGTTATTCAGTATACGTGTCATAATTTGAGGAGTATTTAGCGGTATTACAGTATATAATGCTAATTTTGAAGTATCAATTTTATGAATTAATATTTATTTATTTATTTTTATAAACAGTTTTAACATACGATATATTAATTAGTAATTACATGAACCCTATTATTTGAAAACATATTCTGATATTTATTGTAAATCCAAACCCAGAATCGACTCTCAATTATCCAAATAACAAAGTCTTTGCCATTTGTGCCAAACCATAGACCAAACAGTCCTCCAATATATGACATATAGTCTGTTAGAGACATAACCGGTTCCTCCCAATAGACATACAGGGGTTGTGTTGAGTCCCAAACCAATGCCTTCTCTGTCGTCCTATTATTAAGACTTAATTTATGCCACAATTCGTTACCAATTTGTGTATCACTTGATATGCTTCTCGTATTATATTCAGCGGTCAAACAATTTTTTGGGCAATATTTTAAACATTTCATTGTAATATTGTATTTATTAAGAGTATCAAGAGTAATATCTGACCTAGAGCAATAAACTTCAGCATCATCACTTTTGACATCTAATTCGTATAGATTATTATGGAAAAATATTAAATATTAGGGTAGTCAACAAACATTTTGATAACGAGATCTAAGCAACCATAAATAAAATAAAACTAATAATGGGTTAATAAAACGCAATAAGTTAAATTATGCTTTATCGCATAACAATGGCTTCTCAATTGTGTTTCAGTTTTTATATTAATAATTTTCATTAACACTTCAACGTCACCAACAATCGACCCACTTCGGGCATCAATTACCGAGCAAGATCAGAGAGCATTTATAAAATGCCATGTACTGTTGGGCGACACTGTTCCTAAAATACACAGTATGCTACGAAGAATTCCTGGAAGTCGAGCGTTTACACGGTAAACAGTATATAATTTGTACTACTAATTTGACCAAGATGAACGAACAGAGACGCAACGCAGGTCAGGTCCGGGTGCTCCACGTACACAAGCAACCGAGGAGAATTTAGACAAACTTAGAGACTTGCTTATAGAGCAAGATGATCTCACAGAAGATGAGATGGCCGAACATTTAAAAGTAAGTCATGGAACAGTCGCTAATATGATTAGTGNCACACACACAAGCAACCGAGGAGAATTTAGACAAACATAGAGACTTGCTTATAGAGCAAGATGATCTCACAGAAGATGAAATGACCGAACATTTAAAAGTAAGTCATGGAACAGTCGCTAATATGATTAGTGAAATAGGCGCAAAAAAGATATGTGCAAGGTGGAAACCACAAGACCTAAACCGTGAAAATAAGCAGATCGTATAGATTACTGTGAAGAAAATTTAAGAATGTATCATGCATCTAGTGATATGCTAGATAGAGTTATCGCTTTGGATGAGTCATGGATTAGAAGCTATGACCCACAAGATAAAGAGTCTGCAAAGAGATGGTGTCTCCCTGATCAACCACGGTAAATATTAAAAATATAATTTTTATAAAATTAAATTTATGCTAGTGCCGTTATTTCTCATTTTAGACCGACAGCAACTAGCTCGCAAATGGCGGACTGGAAGCTAATGATGATAGCAGCAGTACATCAAAATGAGATCATTGCTTATCAAATTTTGCCCAAAAATATAAACGTTGGTCATACAATATTTTTGCATTTTTGACTAACATATTGTTGCCAGCGGTCAAACAAAGACGGATTCGTTCTCCACTCATTTTGATGGACAATGCACGGCCACACAAGCATCATGAAATTACGCGTTTCTTTAATAGACATCGATGGACTGTCCTAAAACATAGCCCATATTCGCCTGATTTGAACCCATGTGACTATGATTTATTTGCGAGAATAAAGAGACCACACAAAGGTATTCGATATACTACTGAAACTGAACTAAGAGCAGCCTACGAGAATACAATTTATGAAATAAACCGAAATCGCGAGTTCATTGGTATGTCCCGATTGCCTGAGTGCTGGGAAGCGGTCACTCAGAATTGTGGAGAATACATTGTCTAATCATATCAAAATTAAAATGTATCAATTATTTTCCGAAAAATAAATGTCAAAATGTTTGTTGACTACCCTAATATATTTCTTGATGGTCATACTGGGTCAATAATGATTAAACAGTATAACTCTCGCATTGTGAATATGGGTTATAAAAATGTGACATTTTAACTTATTATTGAAACTTTGATAGTCATAGCCATAGGCGCACATATGACCGTTTGCGGCCAACTAGCGATGTATGCATTTAATAGTTTAATACAATATCTACAACACTAGTATTTTATGAATAAGAAATTTAAACATTAGTAATAATTTCTCAGATTTATATTACATTGGTGCAAAAGTTCTCGCCTAAATTTCCATAGAACGCAATGTTATAAGAGGCGAGAACTTTTGCACCAATGTAATACTAGTTTTTATTACTCATAGATAGTTTTCATATTTGATTAAATCGTGTGTCAATGTTTATACTATATATTATTTTTATTAAGTGTTTAATAATCATTTGAATTTTATTTTGCAGTTTACTGAAAATATTCACATTTTAAATCAAATTGAAGATAATTTTTAAATAAAAAGTCATTCATTTATAAAACACAGTATACTAATGTTGTAGATAGTTATTAAGTTTAGTAATATTATACATTTAGTGGGTTTTAAAAATTCTGGACGTGCCTGGTCATAGTTGTTGACTATCAATAGACACATCAATATTATTATCAAATTTATTAAATGAATTTTAAACATTTTATTAAAATATTATTTAAATATGCAATAAATATACAATTTTTCTTTGTCTAGTTTAACGTAAAATTGACCTCGTGGCAAACAACATAACATTTACAAATCAATTACATTAAGAAACAAGGTAAACTGTAACAAACAATTAACACATAGCTCATAAAACTCGTAATTAGTAAACGGAAACAAATTCAGGCAATAAATTCCTATCTGAGGTCCCGCTTGCCTTTCAATGAGACCTAGCACCTTTAACTTCACTTTCACGTTCATACCAGGCTCATTTCTACTAATTAGCCTAGCATTATGCTTAGCGATAATACCATTCAAAAAGCCATACGATTTATGAGCTTCTCTACCAATGGCTGATAATAAATAATTTATATAAAACATGTTCAATAATAACGTAACTGCTGTCAGTGAAAATAATAGCCGAGCAACAAGGCCCTTTTCGTACATAATGAATATAACTGCAAAATCTTCAACAGGTATTAGCATGTAATAAAATACAAACATGGTGTAATTTAGCCAGGCATTGGTTTGCATAGTCAACAAACTAGACCGATTATGCTCGACCAAACGAGCGGTTATTTTTGACTCCAGATCTAAATTTGAAATACAATCTGATCAGATTAATACAATTAAAATTACTTGGAGCACTGTACCTTTTGTCGATGTATACTCTAACGGTAAATAAACTTGCTGAAATCTTAATATCATATAGATGCTCAGAATAAACACGTAGTAAAACGTGGTTAACATTATAGCCATCATGGTTCGACAAGCCACAAATGCCCAAGCCCAATTTACAATAAATACTACTATATTATATTCACCAGGGTATAGCAAGTATATGGCTACCATCAAGACAGTATAAATCACGTAAAATCCGAGTTTAACTATTTCGATGAGAAATACAATATACTTGGCCATAAACATACTGCGCCTGGTGAATAATTTCTCATTAATTGCATTGAGCTCGAGATCCGTACGAAACTCGAGTTTGTGAAACAGTCGCGTAAACGTCTCGTCCTTTTGAACGCCCTTATACAACATGTATGAGTCTGCAAATATTGTTTACAAATTAGGTTCTAATTTATACATTAACAAATTTTTGATCTACAGCAATTTCTAATGTTATAAGTATTAGTAACTGTGTATGTGGTCCATGGATTTTAATCTATATTCTATATTCTAGTTCATTGATTATTATATATTCTGAATAATATACAGTATATATGCATAATAATATTTATATTTAAAACTGTAATTAATAATAAACATAGTAAACCTAATGATATATTAAGTTATTTAAAGTATTATTTGAGAAATATGCAAGTATTACCGATAAAAATTTTTTGCATGCTTTGTATTAAATAATGATTTTAAAAAACACTTTAATTTAACTTGCCTAAATACTATTGTCTAAAATTTAATTTCTTAATAGAATTTTAAAATAATATTTAATAATGTTTTTACATTAAGAAATCATAATAAGTATTATACTTACACACAAAATTAAAAAAGAAAATCAGCATGGCCAGTATCAACTCAATTAAAGCACCCCGTTTCATTAGCCTTAACGGGTTGCAAAACCAAATGTCCACCCACTTATCGCGCACCAAAAAGCACAAGCTCATTTTGACAAAATGTACCCAGAGCGTGAAATTTTGAAACACGGTAATAATCTTGCGTTTACGGGGATAAATACCCGCGTAATACTCGGCCGAGCTGTTAGGTATGAGCAAGGTGTTTCTACGGAAGAACTCCTGAAACAATTCAATGCCCTCTATTTTATCAGGATGATGTTGCTCCTTTTTAAAGCCGATTATCCATCGGATTAACGAATCGATTGTCTTGTCAAACATTTTTATGGTATTTTTAATTCGCGTTAAACTGCAAGCAAAATGCAAAATAAACGATTAGTTTAAAAAATTAATGCTAATATTATAGTGGTTTAAAATCGGACAATCAATAATTATTGGTTTTGCACTTAACAAAATGTCATTTATCATATTAATGATGAAAACGAGCTAAATATATTACTACTTTTTAAATGATATTAATGTCATATGCCAAATATTTCTTAATAATAATATTTCTATTTTTATAAGTAATTCATACAGCTATCTGTACTTAAAATCAAAATGATGAAAATATATAAATAAAAATATTGGACTTACATTTTAAAAACATGTTTCTTAATGGTCATTTTGAGATATTGTTATATAACAGGACCAATAAATATTGTTAAAGTTTTAAATACTAGTATTTATTAGTTTAAAATACGTATACCTAATTTTGTATATTTATTATAAAAGTTACTAGTTTTGTTATGATTTTATATTAAATTAATATAAAACTTATTTCACTCACAATATTCACTAATCATACAATATATACAATATATATGTATTATACATATATAATTAAGAACATAAAAAATAAATTACATTTTTCTGATTTATTCTATAATACATTATTATAGATTATAAATTATAATACACGTATATATCTTATACAATATATTCTTGTTTATTTGAGTATTTTTAATATGATTCCTTATCTTATTTATTGTTAATAACTTTATGGCATTATATCTGTGCTTTTACAATAAACTCAGGACTACGAATGAGTTGCGAGTCGAAAGCTTTTTTATTGCTTACGTGTAAAGTATAGATGTTTATTAAATAAACGATTTCGACTCACAACTCATCCATAATTCTGAGTTTATTTTAAAATCACAGATATAATAAATTTTTAATATAATGAATAATTTATTGCATGTTATCTAAATTAATTATGAGCACATAAACTATGAATACTATAGTGCGTATTTTAATTATTAATAACGCCACATACAAATTAATTAGGGTGTCATTTATGTTTATTCTTAAAATAAAATATGCTTGTATAATTATATATATAATTAATAATACTGTATAACTATAGCATAAATACAATTAAGAATAATAAAAATTTATTTAACCGCTAGCGCACTATATAAATGTATGTAAAGAAAACTTTATATTAC